GTCTCTTCTACTCGAGAGTCTGGGCTGCGCATCGATGGCGTCTCTTCATCTCTGGATCTGGACTTTCGTAGTCTTCCCACTTCTAGAGGTGGAGTGCTTTAGGAATGTGTCTGTGCATCGAGGTCTTTAGGTCAGGGACAAGAGTTTAACTATTTACTCCGTAAAAAGTACATCGTATGATTTTTACTCCGTGTTAAAAATTGAGTGTCACTATAGATGGTAAAATCACTTCGACTGATACAATAGTGTCATAAATGCCTAATATAATGATAGTGTCACTAAAATAGTGTCACTGTAAGCAGTTTTTCTAGTAGTGATGGAAAGTACATCTTCCCTTATGCAAAACAATTTTGATAAGTGGAAGGACCTGAAGACCGGACTGTGGTGGACAACTTGCAAGTGGTGCAAGAAAGAGTGTTTCTTGGGGCGTTCACACGGATACGGGATGTCAATAAAACATATGAAGACCTGTGACAAAGGGAAAACAACAACCAACGTCGGCGGAAATCCCAATTGATATTTATTAGAAAATGTATTTCGTATTGTTAATTTTTTCTCAATTCTCAAATGTAGTTCCTATTTCAAATAAATGCACTTGAACTTTGTGAGTTTTTTTTCGAATTAATGTTAATTAATTAATTAATTACGAAAATAATGCTGGAAAAAAAGTATTTACCAATATACTGCTGAGATTAACCACGGTCAGGGGTAAGTCACCCAACGGTTGGGCGACTTATAAGTCGCCAAACGGGGTCTCTCTTCTCTTGTTTAAGTGTTACGAGCCAGATACAACACATTATAAAACATACAACACATGTCTTCACAATCACATACATAACACCTACTCTCAACAACATAAAAAACACCTTGAAAATACCCTCAGTAGTTTCACCAGCAGTATTTTGGTAAATACTTTTAATTAACCTAACCCTATTTTCGTAATTAATTAATTAGTTAACATTAATACGGAAAAAATCTCGAACTTTGTTTTTAATAGGAATTTGTATAATATATACAGAGTAATTATTTAAAAAAAATACTGAACCGGCCCGGCCCAGCGGGTGGCCCGACCCGTGACCCGGCCGGGTGGCCCGGCCCGAACCGGAACCGGCCATAGCCCGGGCCGGTACCGGGCCAACCTATACCAGACCCGAGGCCCGACCGGGCCTTGGCCCGGCCCTGGTCCATCACTAGTTATCCATCCTTAATTGTTTGAAAAATAGACAAAATAATCTCAACTATTATAAAAAAAATCCAATTATTGGAAGAATTTTCAAAATGCTCCACTTACTCATAAATATTATAAGTCATTTAGGGATTATTATAATTTAAGTGGTTGCTGACTTGCTGGAGTTTTAACATTTTTTTCAATAGTTGAGATTATTTTGAGAATATTGATACTTTGAATTATCTCAAGCACATCACTAATAGTTAGAATGATTCATGTCCATTTTTCGTAATTGTTTTTACAATATATTATTTGTAGCGATGGCGGTGGTGGTCAGCGGTGAGAGGCGGTGTATCTTATTCATAACACATTTCTATTTCTATAATAATATTAGTAGTAGTTTGTATTTATAAAATGTTGCGAGGCTTATTGCGGGTTGTGGGCGTTCTTCTATTTGAGAAAAAAATGGTCCATGGTGTCCATTATAGACATTTTTCATCACTGCTTCGTACTTCTTCCAACAACAACAACAACAACATCCAAGCCTTAGTCTCAAATGATATTGAGGTCGGCTAACATGAATCGATATATGATATCACATTATCACCAAAAGGAAAAGAAGGAAACTAAAGATAAAAAAGATAAGCTATTATAAAAAAAAAGATAATATAAAAGAGATGAATATACATATAAAAGATCAAATAAAAAGGATAAGGTAATATTTATATATAAGGATAAAGATATAAAAGAAAAGGAAAAAAGAGAAGAAGAAGAAGAAAAAAAAGATGATACAAGATCACTCCTCAACACGAATACCCGCCCTCCATTTTGCTCTCTCCAAAGCCATACCCTCATCCAATCCAAGAAGAAGCATATCACTTCTGACTCCCCTAACCCACGTCTGTTTGGGCCTTCCTCTCCCTCTCTTCCCTACCTCTTCTCAACACATCTCAACTCGTCTGACAGGTGCATCACTCGGTCTTCTATGCACATGACCAAACCACCGTAGGCGTGACTCCCGCATCTTATCTTCAATAGGTGCTACTCCCACCCTTTGTCTAATTGTCTCATTCCTCACGCGGTCCTTTCTAGTATGCCCACACATCCAACGCAGCATGCGCATCTCTGCCACACTCATCTTTTGAATGTGACATTGTTTCACCGCCCAACACTCCGTGCCATACAATAATGCCGGCCTAATTGCTGTCTTATAAAATTTACCCTTCAGTCTAGTCGGCATACCCTTCAGTCTAGTCGGCATAAAATTTACATTGCTTCGTACTTCTTCCGTTCTTTTTAAATGCAACGGTTCACTTTTTACGCTTGTCAACGCACAAGTTTGACCATTAATATATTTCTTTCTTTCATTATTAGTAAAAGAATTAAAAAAAATAAATTTTGAAAATTTGTAATGAGAAGAATTTAACAAAATTTATTTTAATTTTAATTTACAATACATTAATATATAAATAAAATAGAATCAAAGTAAAATATGTGAATAGTGAAAAAAGTGCACTGAACGGAGTAAGTATAAATCTACCGACAATGGTTGGTGATCAGGGGTCACGCGTGATTACTGAAAATAATAAAGTACGGAGTATAAAACAAATTAATGGACCAGAAGAAGTTATACTTGTATAATGTGTTAGTGGAATAGCAATTACGAGGTCCTTTTGGTTTTCGTCTTATCAAGCTTATCAACCAACTTTTTCATCAATTACGTAACTTTTGCTTTCGTGCGCTGAATTGTGTAATAAGCAGAAAAGTAAAGTTGAAGTTACTTTTCCAGCTGTATTGGTTGAATTTACTGTACATGACTATTTTAGCTATTTTTACATATAGTTTTTCTTTAATTTATTAATAAAATATATTTTAAAAATAATTTTTTTCTAAATTAGCAGAATCAGCCAATGCAACCACTTCAGCCAGAACTTCATAAATTTCAGCATAATCAGCCAAAACAGCTGATTTTTGTGCTACCAAACGGACTCGTCATATTTACATGGTAATGACTTAGGCAATGACATATGAATGAGGTTGACATGTGACTTTCAAACATGCTACTAACCTACGTAGTACGATATGATTAAATATGTTAAATAGGTGATTATATGGCCGTACGTATGTCTTAATCTCTATTAATAAAAAAATATTAAAAATCAGATTTTGAAAATTTGTAATGAGATGAATTGAAAAATATTTTTTTAAAAAAATAATTTCCATAAAATAAAGTGTAAAAAGTAGTCAAAGTAGATCATGCGAACAGTGCAAAAAGTCAACTTGTTGCAATTAAAAAGAGACGAAGGATAGTAATTCATACAGAGTATTTAAGAGTATTTCACTCCAACTACTGCAACTTCTTGCTTCCTTTCCTAGACACGCTTATGATTATTCTTAGAGAAGAATTCCCTAAAAAGGATTAAAAGAAGGTAGAATTGCAAAAATAGGACCACTATGTTTTGTTGGACACAAATAGGACTAAAAAGAGCTAATCAGACAAAACTACCCTTAATGAAAAAAATTAAACTATATCCCTATATTGTTTTAACTCCTTTCTGAATGCTTATGCTATGATATCATTGTAAGCCTCCCTCTTCAAAAAAAAAAGAATATAGCTTGTCATTAATGAGAAATATAATTAAAAACTAGTAGGTTGGTATATGGTTCTTGTAATTGAATGACAATACATTGATTAACCAAAATTAAATGTTAATGTAATTTATCACAGAATTACCAAAAAAGAGACCTCCTAAGTGTGTGACATACAGGGCCGTCTTTAGTTGGTTTGGTGCCCTAGACAAAAACTAAAATTGCATTTTAATGTTAGTCGGTAATGTTTAACACAATAAATTGTATTTAGTAATATAGAGTAGTTGATTAAAATATTAAAAAGAAAATGAAATCAAATATAGAGATTGAAAGTATCACAAAAAAATCATAACAATCCTTCACTCTTTCCTTCCAAAAATTCACTTCCTTGAGGCCTTCACCTTAGTCTTATGTTCCAATTTTTAATTAGTTTATGAGTTTGGTAATTTATGAAATCTTATAGCACAAATAAGGCAATTCATAATGAGCTACACCAGTCTAGGCCACATGAAACATAGATATACTTTTTATTAAGTTTTGTAATTGCTTTTCCTTTTATTAATATTCCCAATTACTATATATGAATTATATATAATAATAGTACGGAGTAGTAGTTTTATTTATGAAAATTGATGCCCCCATATGATAGTGGTTCCCTAGGCATATGCCTGGGCAGGGGTGGAGCCAGGGCACTGGGTCGGACTGTACCGATACAAAGAATTTTTTTGTAAAAAAAATTATCCGGAATTTTTTATATTAAAAATAAAGACATTTTTTAAATTTGGGCTAGACCAGGGCCAAGGTTGGCCCTCCTCTATCTCAGCTCCTGTGCTTAGGTGCCTCCCCACTAATGCCGGCCTTGATGACATACATTCCTTTTTTATAAGTTTTTCATTATTCGACTCATTTCTATATTTGATAGTGTCTATTGACTATTGTCTACCGTAACTACTATTTATATTGTACGGACTATTTCATAGTTCATACTTCTAATTTTATCTCCTAGTTTTAATCTTACGAATGAGAAAATATAGATTATTTTACTTTTGAAATGGTCTAAAAGTCTAGAATACTTGTAAGTTCGGAGTTGCTTCCGAGACATGCATATACTCGTAAAGTGACTTTAAGTTGGTAGCGCCTTGACTATTGAAAGAGAAAGAATGACGAAAGAAACATTCTGTCTTTCCACAAAAGACTATATATACATGCCACTGGATCTATGTGTTTTTCACCCATACATCATCCCATCTATTTAGTTCGTACATTTTTTGTACTTCATTTGTACTAGAAATTGATAAGCTCCCCGGCCCGGGTACTTGACAATATCCATATACAGAGCAATGTACGCTTCTTCTTCCTCTTCTGCGTCTTCTATTTTGCCGTCTTGCTCAACAATAAGAGCAAGAAATGTGATCGCGACAATTGCCATTGTTATCTTCTTGTCGAGTAGCTCTTATGCGCAGCTTTCCCCTAATTTCTACACCAAGACATGTCCCAAGTTGTTCACTACTGTAAAAGGAGTTGTTGAATCTGCCATAAAGAATGAAACCCGTATGGGAGCTTCGCTACTTCGCCTCCATTTCCATGATTGCTTTATTCAAGTAATATTTTCGATTCAATTCAATATTTGCAAAAAACAACATAAGATTATGAAAGTGGGTCATTCAAATTGAATTTACCGTTGAAGTATTTCTTTTGATGCAAATGGAAAGTATTTTGGAATATCGAAATAAGGAATGTGGGATATTGTTTTGCAACGGTAGTAGACTAGTAGTATGCCACTAGTAGTATGTAAGATCACGGGCTACTCCCATCCAAGTGAGGACCTATTTTGGAGATCAGAATGAGAGAAGTGGAGAACTTTAAATTCCCCTCAGTAAGAATTTACTGAGCACACGCCTCACTAAATTCGTATTAATACACTAACATACTACGTATATAGTGATTGTAATTTCAAGAGAGAAGTAGAGAACTTTAAATTCCTTATTATTTTCTGTCACTCCTCGGCCCGGGCAAATAATGGGAACCAGACAATATTTTGAGAGAAGCTGTATATTTATTGACTAAAAGCGTGTTGATTTTCCTTAAAAAGATTTAATTGTACCAAATCACAATGGTCTATGTTGTTTCTCACATTATATTTCTTTAAAACAATTAAAAACTATATTAAGATCTCGGGTTATTACTTCTATCAGGTCGACTTTTTAGGATGGAACCACATATCTAAACATGATCGATCTACAATCATGGTGCAGGACCTATAGAAATGACGACACAATTATAAAAAATGACAATGATGAACCAACAAAAAAAAATGAATGACAGTACGATTGAGACATTGTTGTCCCACACCAGGTATCTAAACTTTGAAGAATTTTGATGGGTGAAATAAAGTACGAAATTAAATTAATTAAATAGAGCTATGTTTAATTTAGCGAATAAAATAATACTCTGTATTATACAGTACTGCTTACTCGGTATTACTCATTAGGTAAAGTTTATTCCAATGATGACTTATTAGTCTTCTCATTTGGATTTCTAATTAAATACAGTTATGAAATACAAATGTTGAACACAAACCTAAGTGTCTAACCTCTTGTGTTATACATATATCCGTTTTTGTGTAAAAAATCATTATCACATAATCATAATTAAGTTAGATCACTTTGCGAATGCAATCAGAGATTCAGTCATTCAGAGGCACAACTAGAAAAAAGACCAACGCTATGTTTGGCACAACGAACTGGAGCCGGAGGCTAATGTCTGAATTAGAGGCTATTGTCTGAATTAGAGACTATTGTCTGGAGTTGAACTTTTAAAACTGAAACTGAATTGCTAACTGAATGAGGTAGACCTGTTTGGCAAAAAAAGATGAAAAAATGCTTGGATAATATGAAATTACATTAAAGGGCATACAATTTATTAATAGAACAAAATAATTAGATAACAAATTAGAAATAAAATACCATCGTTGTATTAGAAATAAAATTAGAAAAGGAATTAGAAACATTAGAAAAACAATTAGTCAAATCTGGTACTATGTTTAATTTGCGTGAAAACAAATTAGAAATAAAATAATTAGCATGGAAAAGGGTATTTAACAATATTAGAAATATAAATATAAATGTTCAAAATTAAACAGCATGACTCAAAGAAAATTAAATATCGATGCAAAACTCTCCTTCCACAAAGAAGGAGGTTATTTGTTTAGCAAATGAAGAGCAAAAGAGAAGAAGGTAAGTGCAGGCTAGGGTTATTTAAGGAACCAAAGTCTAACTTAGAGATGACTGAAGACAGACGCTTGGATGGTAACATTTTAATCCAGCCTTTCTTTTTCCACTTAAGCTTAGTGTAGCCCATTAGCCAAAAAGGGTTGTTTTTTCATTATTGACTGAATTAATAAAATTTTAGCCCATTATGAGCTGAAATGGTGTGCCAAACATAGCCTAATCCTGAGTGAGCCGGAACAATCATTCATGTACCCAAAAATATAATTACTCTCCCGCTGGTGCTGGAAGCTCTCGGGATGGGGGATGAGTTGTCATTTTTTAAAAAAAAATTGGGTTGACCCGTATTTGGAATTGTGCTCCGATCCATCTACTACCCTATGTCCTAGGTCTAGAAATGACAATTGTGACTGATTCGATGGATAGCCGTATTGAACGCCCCGGTCAAAATGGGGATAACCGCATTGACTAGGTAACGGGTACGGGGCGGGAATACCCATTTTGTTTTTATGGGTAACGGATCAGTTACGATTTTATACATGCCCGTCCCATTACCCGCCTCGTACCCGCCCCATTTATTTTTAGTTATATTTTTATTACATTCTTATCCAACTATAATGTATAATGAAAGTTTATAATAGATCTTAATAGTCTTGTTTGATTATTATCAGACTTTTTTGCAATTAATTATTTTTTATATCAAGTATTTTTAGGTTCAAATTAATTTAGGTTGTCTTCTTTCTCGTCTTGTAAATATTCAAAACTTTAAAATGGCGTCTGAGACTAGAGTCGTCTAGGTGATGTCACTTTTCACCTTTTACAATATTATTTTTATATTCAAATACCAATGACTCATTTAATAAAGTGATTGCCCGCGGTTAACCACGATCATACCTGTTATCCATTGGGGCGATTATGGGTTGGATAAAAATTACTCGTTGAATAATGATGGGGCGGTTATGGGGCGGGGGAATTACCAAACGGGGTGGGCACAACTATATGTAAAATGTCCCTGATTTGTCCCGTTGACATCTCTTCCTAGGTCCAATATATGTTATGCATGTTCATCGATAATAAATTAATAAATAAAATATAATCAAAGTAGAATATGTAACTAGTGCGAAAAATCCAACGTTGCAATTAAACGGAGGTAGTATATATGCCCCTGCCGGCCAACGCAATACATGTTACTCCCTCCGTCCTTAAAACAACTTCCCACTTTCCTTAAATGGATGTCCCTAAATTAACTTCACATTTCAACATTTTCCTTATTTGGAAAATTATCTGCATCAAAACAGTGCCAAATAGTGTCAAACAGTGTCCAAACGGTGTCAAAGAGTGTTTGAACAATGCAAAACAGTGCACCCAACAGTAAAATCAAATTTATTTTCTTAACCCGTGTGATTGTCAATTTGTGAAGTTGTTTTTGGGATGGAGGGAGTATTTTTTGGATCCGATCCGTTATCGTGGTTGACTGCTTGTTAGGTATCTAAATATAAGATTTAAGATGCATGCATCATCCATTGATACATTATTAAGTTATCAGGTTAAGTAGAGTTGACTTTATGAGATAAATATATAAAGCAGTTTAGTAATTAACAACGTACATTTGGCTAGCTAGTTAAATATGGCTTTAGATCAGACATGTATAGTTATGTTTATTTGATTAAAAAAAAATTGTTTAAGATTAATTTGGTCAGTGATGCATATTAATTATTATTGCTATTATTATATACGCACTAGTATACCGTATTTGGGTAGTTATATATTAGGAAGGTGTCCAGCGAGTAATCTCATTTCAGTTCCAGGACGTTGGTCTTAAAATAGAAAATACACTATAATTGGGTTGGAAGTTTGATTAGCAAAAAAATTAAAAAGGTCTAAGGGTTTGTGATGATCTGATATTTTCTTTTTCTGCAGGGATGCGATGCATCCATTCTGTTGGACGACATACCTGGTAAATTTACAGGAGAAAAAACAGCTGTGATTAACAACAATTCCGCAAGGGGATTCAATTACATTAATGATATCAAATCGGCGGTGGAGGGAGTGTGCTCTGGTGTCGTGTCATGTGCAGATATTATTGCCATTGCTGCTCGTGACTCTGTCGCTCAAGTAATTATAATACTCCATTGTTTATCTCATGTCTTCACTAAGATCGATGTTTGTTTGCATTGAAGTGTCTATCTGCTAATCAGCAATAAGTGATAGTATAAAAGATTTTTTATTTAGGGTATGTGTGCAACAGATTCTGCTATAGAAATCAATATTATAATTATAATTAAAATTATAATTATAGAAATAATTATAACTAAAAATATAATTACAACTATAATTATAGTTTTTTTGTTTACTCTAGGAGACGTCTGGGGGGGGCCTGAAGTAAACTAGGTTGAAACTCACCACATTGAGTTTCGAACCCGAGACCTCCTATAAGGGAGAGTGAGTCGGCGACCAGCTGAGCTTGACTGCTTCATCTAATTATAGCTATATTTATAACTAGTGTAATACGTATAATAATAATTATACCTATTATAATTATTATAATTATAATTATAATTTTTTTATAATTATGATTATGATTATAATTATATTTAAATCATATATGTGTAATTACATTTCTAATTATTATAATAAAAATTAAAATTGTAATTATAATTTTAGAAATATTTAAATCAGACCAGATCAGAAGGATTTAAATCAGATCAAAAGGATTCAGATCAGATCAGAAACATTCAGATCACGAACATTCAGATCAGATCAGGAACATTCAGATCAGATTAGGAACATTCAGATCAGATCAGGGACATTCAGATCAGATCAGACCAGATCAGAAAGATTCATATCAGATCAGATCAGATCAGAAACATTCAGATCAGATCAGATCAGAACTTAAAAAATTCAGATCAGAAACATTCAGATCAGGTGAAGAGAACAACTTCTAAGTCTGGTCTAGTCTGGTCTGGTCTGGTCTGGTAAACGTCTGGTCTCTGTGTATTTTATAACTATGGAAGTCTGATCTGGTCTGGTCTGTTTAATTAAGTCTGGTCTGGTCTGGTTTGGTTTATTTAAGTCTGGTCTAGTTTGGTCTGGTTTGGTACTGAAAACAGTCCAAAAGAAAACATCTTTAATCCAAATAAGAATATTCTAAAAGTAATTAACTGTTCCGATCACCCCGGACACGCATATTTACAGTGCATACTAGTCATTTGTCATTTAACTTCAAAAAAAATTATATGTAGTTTATAACTTTATATAATGAAAAATTAGAATGAAAAATTATGAAAATTTTTTCATAATGAACTACATATAATTTTTCAAATAATAACTTCATAAGTCATTATTTGGCATTAGCTTTTGTCATTATTTGTCATTTAACTTCGTGTTTATATATATGTCCTTTATAAATATATGTTCTTGTCCTAAACAATTCATATATAGCTTGGAGGACCATGGTATCCAGTCCAACTTGGACGGAGAGACTCCACAACCGCCAGCTTCAGTCTAGCCAACGGCGGTGCGGTCCCATCTATCTTTTCCAACCTTAGCGTCCTGATCGAAACCTTTGGCAACGTTGGCCTTAGCGCAACTGATACGGTTGCATTATCAGGTTCAACATATACTACTCCCTGTTTTTTCATTTATCGTCCGTAGATATATTAAAGTTTCTACGTTTTCTAAATAATACTTTGTCTACATTCTATTATGAATAAAGTAGAAAAAGGGAAGGTGCAAAAGCACAAAATGGAATATAAAAGTAAAAAAAATCAGAATAATTGAGTAATCTGACAAAGAATATATCCCATACTCAATGAATCACAGGATGAGATTATAAAAATAACCATTCCTCTACTGTACTGCGCGCGATTTTGTAGTTGCTAGAAGCTAGCCTGTAATTCGATTCTTCATCTTCTAAATGATCTGTTTGGTAGCATTGTAGAAATTGCTTCAGTATGATATTATTGTAATTAAGATATGCGGCAATATGATAAGGGAAAAATTCACATTAATAATCCTAAGTATTGATATTCTTCTAACATTAATCCCAAATTTGAGTAATTCGAAAATAATCCCAAAATTATACCAAGTATGGCATCTTCTCTGGTTAGTCCAGGTGACCTACAACTTACTCAACAGGTTAAAACAATAAAATGGAAAAGCAAAAAAGCTGAATAGATACTTCGTACGGAGTATATTCTTTTGACCGGCTCCTTCACACTTTATTCATCTTCACAAACACTTTCTAATAGCGTTTCTCCTCTTTTTTCTTTTTATTATTTTCTGAATCTACTAGATATGGCCGTCGCCGAAGAGAAAGCGTGGCAACAGATCCACTGTTTCAGTTGTCTTCTCCGATCATAACCCGGCAAGAAACGCACAGCGCTGGCGATACCACCTATTTTCTTTTCTTTTCTTCTGTGCTATCTTTATCATGTTCCCCCCTTAGTTCATCCTCTCTTTCTTCGTTTTGGTATTCTTTTTCTTTTCCCCTCTTGTTTCAATTGACGCCTGTTGGGTCTGGATTGGAACTAATTCACAAAGCTTAAATGAACGGATGAGGATAAAATTAGTTGCAGAAGTTTTTGGATCTATATTCATTGTTTTCTGTGTTGCTGTAAGGCTCTCTCTCAGCAAGTTGTTAAACAGTCACTCCATTTTTGTGGCCAGAAGGGGTTTTGATCTTCTGGCGGAGATGAATAGGGAGGGGGCAGGAATAAACCGACGTGGAAGATGGAAAGAAACGAAAGAAAGAGAAATAAGCAAAGAAAATAGAAAGGAAAAATTATTATAATTGAAATCCAATAGAAATAGGACAAGTGTTCAGGTGACCTGCTAAATAGGTTTATGCAGGTCACTAGTTTGTTTTGAGAAGATACCTCTTATAATTTAGATTATATTGGAATAACTAATATTTGGGATTAATAATGGAAGACCGCGAATAGTTGGGATTATTTATGTGAATTTTTCCTATGATAAATTACTACAACACATCTACTTTAAACCGGTCGATGCAACATACACTACAAAAATATTGCAGAATTGAAACAGATCTGTATTGAATTTAGTGATGATTTCGTGCCAAATAGCTGGTGTCAAACTGTTTTTGTCATGGATTTGGCATATCCCTGCCAAAATCTGTGCCAATTTTGGAAAACTCATGCAAAAAAATCTCTGTCAACCCCGTTTTCTTTGTAGTGATACAGAAAATGTTACATTTGATAAATTGTGTGATTTTGACACCTATTACAACACTTTTGGATATGTTACAAAAGCTACACTTTGTTATACTTAAATACTCTTTCTCTTGTAACTAAATTTATGTATTAATGAAATTGTTAATTTTTCATTGTCTCATGAAATTGTTAATTACGGAGTATTAAATAGGAGCACACACAATTGGAGATGCACGGTGTGTGACTTATAGGCGTCGGATTTACAACGAGACCAATATTAACGCAACATTTGCCGATGAACTGAAGAAGATTTGTCCGTCGACTCAGGGAATCGGGGACGCCAATTTGACCCATTTTGACCGTCAGTCTCCATATGTCTTCGACAACAAGTACTACGGGAACCTGATGAACCAGGAAGGACTTCTTCACACCGACCAAATACTCCGGGATGGCGGGAACATAACCGTTGCTTCATTGGTTGAACAGTACAGCAGAGACCAGAACAAGTTCTTCATTGACTTTGGCGCAGCGATGATCAAGATGGGGAATATTGCGGTCTTAACCGGATCCCAAGGTGAGATCAGGAAGGATTGCACAAGAGTTAATACTCCGTAATTGATTCATTCACCATCCAAATCGCGCCCGCCCGCCCTGCTTTCATCACTCCCTTTTTTTCTTGTATTAAAAATAAAAATTGTCCTGAATACGAGTAAGAACGTTTTGAATTCCAAAATAAGATTTTTATGTTTTTATTCCCTAAGCTGGAGTTATTTCTGCCAAGTTTGGAAGAACCTGGCAGAATTGACATGTTTAGAATCTCACAATGCCAGACTTGGCAGAAATTAATTACTCCTACCTGTTTAGATAATAAAAACATGACAGTTTAATTTTGGAATTTCAAAATCTTTTTAATCTTATTTAGGGATTTTTCCATATTAAGGGCCTCGAGTCATTGGGTTTATCCATTTTGTTTGGTCATTTACGTACACTGCTAGTTGCTTGCTGCTTGTTTGTTTCTTGATTCTAGCTGCGCTGTTATTGTCGTCAACCATTTTATGTGGTTTTGTTGGTTAATTCATCTTTGGCCCGCCAGATATATATTTGGTTTTACTGGTTTCCGACATGAAATTATGCTGACATTGTATTGCTAAACAGCTAAAAGGTTCACTTTTATAACAACACTCTTTGTTTTATCCGACTCAAACTTCAGATAAAACCCATACGTATTCGACGTATAGTAACCTTTGTTGTATAATTTTTTTGAATTAAAAGAATTAATAACTAATTTTGTTGGGGTGTGTCAGCACAAGATTTTTGAAAATAAATGTCATTATGCGCAAAAAATTGCTGCATATTATTATTAACAAATTCCCCTCCTCCATCACTTTGAAAAATTTTAATTTTCTGATTAAAAAGATTTTCAACCAAAATCTTAAATTTTTTAAAGTGCATAAAAACCTCACTTTTGTGATGCATGGGGTAGATCCAAGTAAATCGAGAATAATCATCAATAAAACAAACATAATACTTGAAACCCAAATTAGAGGAAACTGGAGATTGCCATACATCAGAATGAATAATCTGTAAAGGAAGAGAACTAGTATGACTAGCATCTGTAAACGGTAAACGTTGAGATTTTCCTAAGCGACAGGCCACACAAGCATGAGTAAACGGAGTGTGATTACATAAAAATTGTTGACGTTTTAAAAACTGCAAAATAGTGTCACTACAGTGACCTAATCTACGGTGCCACACAGGGCCAGAAGCTAAAACAGAAGCTAAAACTAAAGGTGATGGTGACTGCAGACGGAGAGGATAAAGTGGTCCATTACTGGTGGTTCGAAGAAGCACTGCCCCCGTGGCTCGGTCCTTAATCAAAAAAGAATTTTTATCAAAAATGACAGTACAGTTGTTATCAGCACATAATCTTTGTATAGATATTAAATTATATTTTAACTGAGGCACATGATAAACGGATTTTAAAGTAAGGGGGCGACCAGATGAAGGTAACGCAACATCACCAATATGAACAATGGGTAAATGGGCACCATTAGCAACACTAACAGAATTAAAACCAGTGTAAGCAGATTTATTAGTTAAAATACCTTCTGTGGCGGTCATATGAGCAGAAGATCCTGAATCAGGATACCATAAAGCAGAGTTAGCTTCCTCGGGAGTAGTTAAAAGAGCTGGTGTAGACGGCGGAGTGAAGCGGGATGGACAGGTAATGGCAGAGTGACCTGTAGAGAAACAAATTTGACACACAACGGGATGGGGAACTGACCCAAGAATACCCCCATCTGATGATGAGCCTGCAGACACCAAGTTAGTAGCACAAACAGGTAAAACATGCATATTTAAATGTGACACAGAAGAATTACGTGTAACAGTACCCGAAGAGTGTACACCCCCTGTCTGCGGAGCGTACCCGGCCGGAAGGGGAACACCACCTGCCCCAGCTGCAAACATCGGCAGTTGGCCCTGCTGGCCGTACGAGATAAACGGCTGACCGTAGGGCTGGTTCAGCTGGCCACGCCCACGGCCTCGACCGCCTCGTAAACGTCCTCCGCGGCCCCCGACCACCACGTCCGCGCTGCCCCTGCTGCTGTGGTATGTACGCTGCTCGTGGACCCTGCTGCGGATGACCACCAGCGGGCTGCTGCTGGATACTGGGCTGCTGGGCGTGTGCACCAAAGGCCTGGTGGATAGATGTGTCCTGAGACCGGAGATAAAGAACTCTATGTTCTTTCTCTAGAAGGTGAATCCGCAAAGTCTCAAAGGGAAAATTTTGGGGAAACAACGACACTGTGGTAAACAAAGACTCATATTCAGGGCCAAGTCCCATAATAGTGGATTTTAGCAGTTCTCGCGGAGGAACAGGGCAGTTAATATTATTAAGGTCATCTACTAAAATTTTAATCTCTCTTAAATAACTATCCATGGACTGATCAGGTTTCTTTTTAAGTTGAACCAACAGACGCTTTAATTCCATAGACCGTGCTAAACTAGCATACATGAAGTGAGATTCCAACCGTTCCCAAATTTCAGAGGAGTGTTTTAAATCCCGAACATCAATAAGAACATCTCGAGATAAAGTAGCAAATAGCCAAGAACGAATAGTTTGATCAATTCGTATCCAAGTAGAGAATTCGGGATTGGGAAATTGATGGTTGAGAAAATCTATGGAATAAGAAGGGGGTACCTGAATTGAGCCATCAACCATGCCGAGAAGTCCTTGTGAGACCAAGAATGATTCAAACTGGGTTCGCCAGGCAGTATAATCTTCTACGGCCTGAAGTTTGGTTGTGACAACATTGGTGACATTAGTAGCCACATGGGATATGGTTTGGGCAAGGGCCGACAAGTTACAATCATTGTGGCTGGTACAGAAGAAGACACCCCAGGCGAGCGAACAAACGAAGGCCCACCAAACGTTCCAGCCATGAGAGGAGGCGGATCAAGTGAAACAGATGGCGCCGGAGAGGGAGCTGACCATGGAAAAACTGGCGGAAGCTGCTGAAACAGAGAGTATGCCCCAGAAGTCCGAGCTGGCGATGCGATGCGAGAAGAGAAGGAGACACCAGAATCCATGGAACTGATTACTGCCGGCCTCGACCCAGCAGAAACAGGGGCGCCAGTTGTGGGGATGGGATTAGAAAATGTAATTTGCCCATCAATCTTGCTTCGGGTAAACATTTTTTATACACAAGTTTTTACATGCCCACCGATTTGTGCACATACATCCTCCGTTCTTTTTTAGTTGCAACAGTCAACATTTCACACTTGGCAACGCACATCTTTGACCGTATTTATATCTTAATCTCTATTGGTAAAAAATATTTAAAAATTAGATTTTGCAAATTTGTAATGAGATGAATTGAAAAATATACTCCCTCCGGTTTTATTTAATCTTCACACTTTGACTTCACACAAAATAAGGAAAGAAATTTGACTTTACTGTAGAGCACACTGTTGAGGCACTGTTTGACACTGTTTGACACTATAGAGACACTGTTTGGCACTATTGAGACACTGTTTGACACTGTTTGGCACTGTTTTGATGTAGATTTCTTTGCCAGAAAAGGAAATAAGGAAGTGCGAAGTTTATTTTAGACCGTTCCAAAAAGGAAAATGTGAAGTTTATTAAAAACCGGAGGGAGTACTTTTAAAAAAATAATTTTCATAAAATAATAATATAAAATGTAGTCAAAGAAGTATATGTGAATGGTGTAAAATTCAACATGTTGCGATTAAAAAGAGATGAGAGATACTCCCTCCGTCCCACAAAGATTATCCAATTTTACCTTTTCGGGAAGTCCCACTAAGATTGTCTCATACCAAATTTGGTAAAGATTGTGTGGCTCTAAATCATTCTTACTTTATTCTTACTTTATCAATTTAATATCAAATACACAAACCCATTTTTCTTAATAATCGTGTCACCTTCTTCAGTCCCAATCTTAGTGGGACGAGGTAGTAATATTTTTTTCTAAAGCGGGTTATTCTTCACCGACAATTCTTTTTTATGTTCACGTGACCTTTCATGTTCTACTATTTCCTCGGGAGTCACGTGGTTCTACGTACACGCTCCCGCGTTTGAACCTTCCCTCCCTTCTGTCGTCCTCCTCCAGCAAGACGCGTTGCCATCACAAACCTCAGAAAAATGGCGTCGGCATTTCTTTTTATTGCTCGACCCCGGCGTTCATTTATTTCTGATCCGCGATCGGAATTCCTTGATTTCAGCCACTTATTATCATTCCCAAAGCGCTCTCTGTTAAGGTAACTATAAACTCTAGTTGTTTTAATGTTCTATTGCCCACAAGATGATGGATCTCCCTTGTGCTTTTGATTCTGTGGTATATTTTGAATTCCAATGTTCAATTTTCTTATCTTTGTTTGCTTCTTTTGATTCTTTGTTAAATCCACCGTATTTTTAAATCTAAATTCTGATGCTAGGGCAAGATGAGAAATCAATGGTTGCTGGATTTGCAAAATCACCGAGGATAAAATTTATTTTCCCCAAATCAGTAAAGAGATAGAAATGCAGATACATTGTTTTAACTGATGATAAATGTTATTATTTCTTACCATTACAAGCTCAAATAGTTCTCCTGATTGCAGGCCTGAACCACATATCTGCATTGCTCCAGTTGATCTTGGCCAAACTGCTTAGCTTAATAGAAAGGGGCGAATTGTATGTCATTATACGTAGTATCAATGTGTGTGATTATTTTGAATGTAGAGACCAAAGGAATGCGGAAACATGTGCAACTTGTGCACCTCGAAACAACTTAGGGGGAGTTTGATTTTCTGAATGTGAGGTAGCGGAGGTAATATACCATCATTATATTACATCCCTCGGGTTTGGATCACAACTATTCTATTTAGAGTTCTAAAAAGCGTCCATTAAGCAGGCTCACGGCAACAGGTTTTGGCCTAGCATAAGGTTTTGTGCTGTGATGGCCCATGGAGGGATGAGTTGTCTTATGGAGAGATATGAATTAGGAAGGCTACTTGGCCAAGGTGCGTTTGCTAAGGTATACTATGCCAGGAGCATCATAACCGGACAAAGTGTTGCCATTAAAGTCATTGACAAGGAAAAGGTTTTGAAGGTTGGATTGACAGATCAAATCAAACGGGAGATATCCGTTATGAGGCTTGTGAGGCATCCTAACATCATTTTACTCTATGAAGTCATGGCCACCAAAACCAAGATTTATTTCGTGATTGAATTAGCCAAAGGTGGTGAGCTTTTCAACAAGCTGGCTAAAGGAAGGTTAAAAGAAGATGTTGCACGGAAATATTTTCATCAGTTGTTAAACGCGGTTGACTTTTGTCATAGTCAAGGGGTCTATCATCGTGACTTGAAACCCGAAAATTTACTCTTAGACGAAGATGGAAACATGAAAGTCTCTGATTTTGGTTTGAGTGCTCTTGCTGAATCGAAGCGCCAAGACGGGCTTCTTCATACCACATGTGGGACACCTGCCTATGTGGCGCCTGAGGTCATCAACATGAAAGGGTATGATGGCGCGAAATCAGATATATGGTCATGTGGGGTCATCTTATACGTGATGTTAGCCGGGTATCTTCCATTTCATGAATCAAATTTGATGAAAATGTACAGAAAGATTGGAAAAGCCGATTTCCGATGCCCGAATTGGTTCCAACCAGAGCTTCGGAGGCTACTTTTGAGAATGTTGGATCCTAACCCCTCTACTAGAATTTCTATTGCTAGAATTCGAGAGCATCAATGGGTTAAAAGGGGAATGAAATCTCAATTTGATCATGCTAGATATGAAAAACAAGAATCACTGAGAGTATTGAGTTTCAATGCATTTGATTTAATCTCTATTTATTCTGGCTTTGACTTGTCAAGGTTATTTCAAGAAACTTGTTTGGAGAAAGTGTACTATATCACTTCCTCAAAACCTCCATCCACCATCATAAACAAACTGGAAGACATTGCAAAAAGTCTGAAGCTGAATTTGACCAAAAGAGATGCAGGAGTTTTGAGGTTTGAAGGAGCCAAGGAAGGAAGAAAGGGGACATTGTCCATTGATGCAGAAATCTTTGAGCTCACTCCTGCTATTCATTTGGTGGAGTTAAAGAAATCCAACGGGGATTTGCTAGAATATGATCAGATAATAAATGATGGCATAAAACCTGTACTAGAAGACATTGTATGGGCCCCACAGCAACTGAAACTGGCCACAATGGAATAAAACCTTGATTCTAATACAATTACGGAAATTCAATTAAATGCACACACCTTGTATATTGTTATGGGCCACCGTCACTAATTTGTGTTTTTTTATTTACCATAATTTTTCTTGAGCTATCCTAGGTAAGTAGGTGTTCTTGCCGGGTTTAGAGTTGGAAATCATTGTCATCTTTAACAAACGCTGATTGTTTGTACAGGTTATATATTTTTGTAGAATTATCTAATCCTTCAGTGATAAACCATTGCCCTCTTAAATGTGCAATGGAAGGAATTTCATTTCTCCAATAATTCGAGTGCATTAACACACATACTCTCAATTCTTTTACTCTTATAATATGTTTCTGAAACAATATGAATGCTTGAGTTTACGTCAAAGAGATTATTGAGAACAAATAGATTAATTTTAGACCATAGTAGATGGATCTTTGAAACCTATGATGCACAGGTTATTTGTATAAGTAGGATTAGTTTGTGTTTCTAATTTCATCCTGTTTTGGCATATTAGTACTCAATGTTTTAATTTGTTTCTTATTGTTTCTTTTATGTTTCATATTTTTGTTTCTTTTTGTTGTGTGATGTTGCTTTTTGTTGTTATGTTGTTTCTAATTGTTGATCATTTTCATTTCTTTTTTTATTTTTATTGTGTAATGTTTATTTTTATTGTTAAATGGGTAGGGTTAAATGAGTTATATATAGCTTAAATAAATATGAGAGGACAAGTTAATAACACATGTGATGCTTTTTAATTTTGAAGTACATAGCAGATAGCACTTTGTGGGTATAAGAAACGTGCATAGCACTTCTTATAAGGTGGCATTATTATGGTTACTATATGTAACCGTTTAGTTTTTATCTTTGTAAATTAGTTAATTAGGTTATTTGTTTTATTTATACAAATATATAACACAGTTAAATGGCTATATAGCTTAAATAAATATGATAAGAAAAATTAATAACCTATTTTATGTTTTTTTTAAGTGCATAGCACTTTTGTGCATGTGGTTGAAGTGAGGCAACGTAAATATAGTTCACTCATGCAACCGCCTATTTTTATCCACTTAAATAAGTTAGTTATGCTATTTGTTTAATTTATACAAATATATGACATAAACTTAACTACACATATTTAAAGTTGTATGCACACCCAAATATTCCTATATAACATAAATCTAATTCTACTAAATTAAAGTTGTATATACATCCAAATATTCCAACTTAAATTTATGAAAAAAAAAGAAATCAATAACAAGAAACAAAATTAAACAATCAAAAACAAAATTTGCAAATTTATCAACAAAAAGAAACACAATGAGATAACAAGCAACAAAAAATAGCAACAATCTGCTCTTGTGATTTTTTGTAACTTTATAAATAACAATTAATTTTTGTAACAAATAATAACAAATTGCAAAATTCATATGTAGTATTATGTATTTGTTTAAAAATTCCTTCATTTTTACAAATTTTCTATGTTATACTTATTTTAATTTTTTCACATTTTTTTGAATACTTATGTTTTATATTTTCCCTTTTAACCTTTTTATTATCTTTTTTCTTTACTCGCTTTTAAGTTTATTTGACCTTTTTTATTTTTATAAATTTTAAGCTCCACTTTTAAATATAAATTTTAACATCCTTAGTTTCAACTTTCTTGTACTTATACTTGTACAAACTTTAATTTCATTTTCTGAATGTTTTCATTTTTCTATATTTATTTGAATTGTTTTCATGTTTTCAAATTGTATATAAATTTATTTTAATTGTTCAATGTTTTCAAATTTTTATATTTATTTGATTTTAGATGATTTTACTTGTATGTATACTGATTTTTAAAAAAAATGGTCTTTTGTAAAGATCTATAATTACTTTTCATATTTTTAAGTAGTTTCACAACATTTTTATTTTATTTTACAATTTCGTTTTTATATGTTATTTTTTTTTTCAATTTATAAATTTTAACCTATTTGTACTTTTTTATTTTTATTTTTCCTATTAGTTTTCATATTTTGAAATTGAATAATTATTTACTCTTTTAAACTTTTATAGTTTTTGTACACATTTACTGTATTTTATTAACTTATTTACCTTTTAAGTTTTCATTTTTGTTCTCTTATTTTTTTTTAAGTTTTTGAAATTTGCAAGTGTAATTATAGAATACAAAAAAAGTGTAATTATTATAGAATAGGGAGCATAAGGTTGAGTAGTTGATAACGTCTCTATTCATTCCGTAACTAAACACGTAGGTTTAGGCGAGGAAATTCCCAACAAGCGGGAATTTTTGGTCTGACACGCCAAAAAACAATTTTTGGTCTCCTCCTCCTGTCGGAATTGGCAAATCCGACTTGGGGGGCACCTTTTTTTTAACTACTAGTATTGTACCCGTGTGATGCACGGTGTATGAATTTTTGGATGGGGTATAAACACCATTAGACATGAAAATTTAATTGGTTATAAAGTTAAATATCAAACATTGGACAATTGCGAACTTAAAGGATAATACGTAAGTTTGTTGAAATATGTAACGTGGTTATGTTACAATGTGAAACATTGCAGATTATATATGGAACACTTCTTGGTAGACAACATTCATTGTTTTCATCCTTTGGACAATCGTCTTCATTTTGGATGAGGATTTTGAGACCTGCACGATTGGTAATTCTTGACACAATAACATATAATAGCCCATGGCTGAAAACTGGTTTTTTGGTAGGAGACCAACGTGAGTGAACGACTCACCTTGACTTGTATTGATGGTCATTGCATAAGAATCCATAATAAGAAATGGTCTCCTTTGAAATATAAATGGCAACCAAACATCAGACTGTGTTAAAGATAGTCGTGGTATTAAAACTCTGTCCTACACTCATAACATTCAGAACCCTACCCTCTATGATGTGATCACACATCTTTGTTATGATAAGTCTTGTCCCGTTACACAGACCGAGTGAGTGATCAATATAATGCTAAAGCATCACTGGGGTGCCAACTATCAAAGCTAACCTGTGATTTGGTACTCTAAAAAGCCATATCAAAATTTTTATTTAAGAGATTTCATGTGATTTGACACTTCAAAGTTAACCTGTGATATGACTAAAAATAGATTTCTTTATTAAGAGATCAATATGAGACAGTAATTGTTTGTCCCAGTTTATGCAGACTAACACTCACAGCTAGATGGATATCATCGAATAACTGAAAGGAACGATCTCACAGAATGATTTATGAACTATCGAGAACTTTGAGATCGTGTTTCTATTATATCGAGAAGAATTTTAGCAGCGTAAGGCTAGAGTGTATTGATCGATTGATATCTCTCGGTACCTGTACACAAGGCGCATATTTATAGGCGCTGTACAGGTTACCGATTTAGGTAAACCTTGGAAGTTGGGTCAAGGCCTTTTTGGGCCTTATTCCCTTTACCTTATTTATTACATAATAATACTAATCTAATACCATAAACGGTATAACTAGTCTACTTTATTAAACAAGACTTAACAGACAAACTTGACCCACAATAAAAGTTCTAACAATCTCCCCCTTTGTGGTCAAGTGCCGTCTTGCTGGGTTTCTTCACTTCTGAGCTTTGTAATAGTTCTTTCTGAGATTAAGTGCATGCTCATAGTTTCTGAGTGAGTTTTTCTTATCAAGTTGCTTTTCAATGGCTTGTAGGATGTTGTCAATTCTGTGTGCTTCCTTTAATTCAGCATCTGTTGCATCTGCATACTGTTGCTGTCTTTCTTTGAATGCTTCTCTGATCGGTTGCAATTTTTCTTTCACAATCTTCAGGGTTCCGTCACAGTATTTGTTAATTTCATCAATGAGTAGCATACGTTTCTCACCATTGTGATTCAGATAGATAAGCATGATTGGACTATCAAAGATGTAATACTCAGGAAAGTCTTCCTATTCTTGTCCATACAGCTTTGGTCTTGTGAGGTTCGTCTTTGGCATGTTTGTTTCAAGAGCCATCTGAAGATCATGAGAGGCAAAGAATTTGATTTGTCTGATCATAAATCGCTTGAGTGCATCCAGCCCATCTTGTGTAATTTTGTCACGAATGCCTGGAATTTCCTGGAATGCAAGATACATCTGATAGATGTCGTCCATCTTTAGCATGTAGAGATCATTTTCCTTGCATGTGAATACAGTTCCGTCAGAGCGCTGAAGCTGGTAGACTGATAGTTTGATATCTTGAAAACTGGTTTCAACCACATTGAGAACAGCCCAGACAGGGTCCTTGGCTGTTTGAAGTTCGTGTTGCCAGACTTCTCTCTGTTTTCCCATATAGTGATGACTAAGTAGAAACAGCTGTCCGCCCTTGTTTTGTCCTCGTAGATGGTTAAGACCACGAATCTTCAATTCATCCAGTTCTCTGACCTTATCCTCTTTTCGCCAGATGTTTTCCCTAATTTCCTCTTGAAAGGGGGCGTTGATGTCGATCTTTTCCCAGGGCTTCTCATTTCTGGGCATTTGAGCCGCTGTTTGTCTAATGATCGCCTCAAGCTCCTTGGGTGGTGTCTCATAGTTTTCTCCCTTCTTGAGTTCATCTTGATCAAGTTGAATCACATCAGCAGCACAGTTGACTATGAGATCTCTGAGGTATGCTCTTCGCTGTGCTTCATCTACATCTGTCCAGAGTTCAGACCATTTGTTATGCACCAGCATTTCCTCAAGTTCATCGTGCATTTGATCATTGTAGTAGCTGGAGGAAGCCTGTTGCTGCTGTGGCGATATGTCTGGCGTAGTATCGGGATCCTGGTGAGACTTGCAGGGATCCTCAATTATCTCAACACGATGCTCTTGCGCAGAGACCAGACTTCTATACTTCGTTACATGCGGTCAATCCTCCCTTGGCTGAGAAAGTGAAACACCGGGATCCTCAGGATTGCCCGTTGACATCAGTTTCGAACTAGGTTCTAACTGATGGCCTGAGTAAGAGGATGTACTCGTGGTAGCATCATCAGGACTTCCAATCCGTCCTTGGTTAACATCTATAGGAGATGCACCTCGGGATGTTATGTCTAGCTCGACCATGCTAGAGAGAGTGGCTAGGGATTTATGGCTGGCTGAAGTAGTGGGTTGCTCATTGGTAGAGGTGGAGGGTTGGTTTGGCTTTGAGGGTTGGCTAGTAGAAGCAACATGCTCAAGTATCCGCTGGCGCTTGTTCTCCCCCTCATGAGAATCCGAATCATCGGGATCCTCATGTGAACGTTTAGCGCCACGGAGACTGTCACGGCATGTGTTCTGTGTATCTAGAGCATGGAGAAGGGCTTTTTGAAGAGGGGTGAGGTTGCCTTCTTCCACGTC